CAGCGTGGGACTAAAAATAGTGCTGTCAGATGTGTGTGGGAGGGGCAGGGTCATCCCCAGATGGATAAAAATAGAGCGATATCCAGATGGAGACGAGACGAGGAAAACATCAGGAGGAAGGGGAAGCTGCAGGGGAAGAAGGAGGAAGAACCTTGCTGATATTTGCATTCACGTGCAAACACACAAAGAAATCCACACGCACAGTCGTATTTCCATCACTTACAGAAGACAATTACTTTCATTCATTTCCCGGAGACTCACTTCACAGTGATGTGATTGTGTCAACACATGTATAAGTGCAAACACAATGCAGATAGCAGGCTAACATAACACAACATATTTGCACTTGCTAAAAGATTCAGAAACTCACACACACAACATGTTACTGGTCACACTCCAGCCCAGTGTTCATACATACACCATTTTCCACACCTGCAAACCCAACACCAATAACTTCCCGGTGGCCTTTTTGTGGCACGCTGCATATCAAGACTGCACGTGCTGCTCACATGCTACACACAGACCCACACACACTGAAACTCCAAACAGTCCCTTCTCCGCTTAGTTCCCTGCAGGCAAACCTCTGCTAAAATTAAACCTCTGTGATCTAAAAATACCAAGCAGGCACGTGAGCCCAAGACTGGATGAAGAAGACAACAAGCAGAGGAGAGAGGAGGGGAAGGGTGGTGTTGGTGGTGGTGACAAGGGGAAACAAAAATTGAGGACAAGGGAGAATAGAGGGAAAAGAGAAAATGGGGTTGCATGCCAGCTTTTTTAATCAGCTTTTGAACTGGAGCATGTGAGAATGCATGAATGCAAAAAGAGAAAAGGCGCAGGAGATACAACCAACAACCTTTTAATACAATGCATCCACTGCCTACAACACGCAGAGTGCAGGAATTAAACTCAGTTGGTTCACCTCACACAGACTGACTGTCAGCGACTGGAGCGTTTGCTTTGAATGAGACTGCTTCTTTGCAGGGGTGCTCATAAAATGAATGGAGATGAGAGCCGTTGCAGCTGTTGTGAATGGCGAGTCTCCACTCTGATCAGTGCTTTGAGTAACTCAGCAGCTCCCCCTACTGATCACTGAGTGACATGACACCATTCCTGATTTCTCTCAAGAAGCTTTTCAGATTGTTTCGTGTTTTCACTTTAAAGGTAATCTGTAGGAAAAAAAAGAATATTTATTTCAGTCTTGCTGAAAATTGATGATGTTTTCTAACCTCCTATCTTAACTTCTGCCCCATCAGGGAGACTGTGAGAGTAATGGAGGAATCATGAAAAAGCTTCCTTCCATTAAGGAAGATGAGGAGGGCTCAGGGTCCGAGGGCGAACGCTCCCCTCTGCCCAAGATGTCATCCCTTGGCAGGCTGGGCCGCGGCCTGCGTTCCCCCCTCCGCTCCCCTCTTCGATCCCCGCTTCTGCCGCCGAGGCCCTTCCGGCCAGCAAGCGATCCCGTCCGGCCCTCCAGCCTGCAGATCCCTGTTGTGAGCTTCAGCTGCCTGCAGCCGGACCTCAGCCCTCGGTAGGGAGCCATTCACGGATTTATTGACTCGGTACTTAGCATTAGATTCGCCTGGAGGAGTTCATTCACTGGTAAATAATCCTCAGTGTGAATTTGGCCTGAATTGCTTGTCACTTGTGACATTATTCATAAACACAAACCATCCACAGGCTAATTTGCATGGAGTCCCTAGAGAGGTGGCAGCAGACTCTGGGCTTGGGGAATCAATTTATTTTGGCTCAGCTGTGTGAGGGCGCAGACGAGCATAAATTGTGCCACTGTGTCAGTTTTACAAAAAAACATGTAGGGAAAAGCAGGATTACAGTTGTATTTTTTCAAAAAGAAAAAAAAGTCACCTACCTTTGATGATTGGTTTTAGTAAACTGGGCACAGACACAAGCAGCACAGACACCCACACTGTCTCTAGCTTTTCTTCATCTAATGCCTTATACCCGAATGCCAGCACTGGGTCGCAGATGGAGGGAGATTCTTGGCACATGGCTTTTTAATCACGTTTCATTCAAAAAAAAATAAAAAATGGCACAGTTAGATTTCTTCATTAAAGTTGAGTTCAAAGCACACAAACATATGAATTACTGTCTTGTTGGATTTTTTTTTTAATGAAACTGTAAAAATTGTTTAAAAACGCATTTTTTTTTTCTAATGTTCACCAAAGTTGGTAAAAATAGTCTTAAATCCATTTTCTACTTCGTATCCATGTCTGGATTAGTCGGCAGGCTAAGCTGAGAAACCCAGACCTTCCTCTCCTACCTCCTGCAGCTCTTCAGGGTGGATACAAAGGTATTGCCATGCTGGCTGAGAGGCAGATCACAGACATGCTCTGGCATATCAGAAGTGTGCACCCGGACTCCCAGTAGGACGTTGTTCCATGAATTGCTATCTTACCATGGTGGAGGGGTTTGCTTGCCCATGTTGGGATAGCAACCATTCAGCCTGAGAAGTTTGGCCCTTTATTCGGGACAAATTGGTCCTATGTGAGGGTCCAGATTAAGAGAGATTTAGAAAACCCCTTAGATGCTGACAAGAGAATAAAAGAGGGAATAGTTCACCCTGACCAAGACATAATCACTGGAGCTTCATCCTGGAGCCAGGCCCTGGGTAGGTGGTTGGGCCTTTGCTCATTCTCGAGCCCAGCCAGGCCTAGCATAAATGAGGTCTACCACTCGGAGAAAGCACCATAGGGGTTCAATGCACTTTGGCTTGAGCAGCAGTCAGGCACCCTGTCGGCCTTGCTTACCAAGCTTAAAATCAAGCCTTTCAAAAGTTATCTTATAAATATTTCTTTCAACAGTGTTTGTCCATTAAAGACAAACCACCGGTAAAGCTGCCGAACAGGAAGTGAAGTTGTAATTTAGCAACTTTTGATCGACTGAAACTTGTTAAACATGGTAAATACACTTTCAACCATTTTCAGGGAACATACAAGGGAGTGATGTACAAAGACAACAAGCGTTCAGTTGTTTTAAGAACAATTTCAACATTTTTTTGTAAGTTTTTCCAAACGGCCAACACAGTACAAGAAGCTAAAAAGCTATTAGGCGTACCTCACATCTCAAATGATGTTCATCATTCTATAAACTTATTCACATACATATTCACTAGTTTCTGTGTGTTAAACCCTTTTTGCACACATGCAGTTGTGGTCAGAAGTTTGCATGAACAGCATGATAATTTAAGGCTTTTAATGAATTCTTTGAACCTTTCTTTTTTCCTGGGTGGAATGATTGCACAGCATACATCTTTAATGACTTTAAAAACAAGAATTCGGTGCATGAGCTTGGATTTATTTGGGGTTTTCTCCGATGCAAACAGGGCCAAAAGTATGCATACAGCCTCATATATATTAATACATTCCATACTAACAAATTGGTTGAAAGCTTGTTGATGGTAGGCATCAATCGTCAATATGGTTAAGTTCGGGGCATTGGCAAGGCTTAATTATCACTTAACATTTGATAAATCATTCACTGCAACATATCCTCCTGTGTCAGAAAGCACACATGTTATACAGGTCAAAGAATTCACCTTTAATCATGTGAAAAAAAAAGCCACATGAATTAGATCCCTATAAATTGGGCCATTTGATACATGATGGTGGATGATGGGCCAGTGAGAATGAGGAAGGAAGGTCTGCCGGTCGTAGAAGATGCGCGCCCCTCCCTGAGCCTGGTTCTGCTGGAGGTTTCTTCCTGTTAAAAGGGAGTTTTTCCTTCC